ATGCTATTCAGTTGTATGGAGTAGTACAAATCAAAAATAAAAATTTAGTGTCACATAGTTGTTACTAGAAGGTATAGACACGTGTGTGTGTGTGCATAGGGTCTAAATGAGTTTGATATATTTACTTTTAAAAATTTTTTTTTTTTTTTTTGTGTGTGTGTTCAGTGATTTGGATACCTATCTTAGTTGCATGTATTTTAAGAGGTGCACACGTCACAGGCAACCAGTTCACTGAAGAGGAAATTAATACATTGGTGAAATTCATTTAGGAACTTGCCACATTAGTTCTTTAGCTGCTATATAAGGACCTGGAAGGCAGTGATTTGTGGTGGGAAGTTAAAACCTGGGTACTGATTCCTAAGGGAATTTTCTGAAAGACTGTGGAGTGACAGGATCACAGATCATCTTTGCTGAGATGCCATTGAAGAAAATACAGAAGCAATTACTAACCTGGACAGAAGAGTTGGCTGCTTTAGAGATCCTGTGCTCATCTGCAAGATGTCACCTGCTGTGGAAATCTGAGCAAGTGTCATAAAAGCCTAACTCATGCTACACTCTAATCTCTGCCAAGGAAAGCTCTGTTCTGTAGGATTTTTACTTTGAGGTCTTTTGGCAAAAAAACAGTGAAAAAATGCTTAGTTTCTTGGTGATTGCTTTCTATAAAGTGTGGCCCTATAAGGTATATTCTTATTAAAGCAAGAATGGCTCAGGATTTTAGACTGTGAATCTGAAAAAATGAATGTGGGCTGTTAGTTAACAATAGAGATTTTTCTGGTTTTATCCATGAAAAAAACAAGTGACATTTACAAAGTGTTCTACTGTAAGGAAACTCTCTATTTCCTTAAGCAGGCTATGATTTAAAATAACCCTCAAAGGTTCTACTGTTACAGAAATAGATCTGTCTTTGTAGGTGGCTAACAAAGGGGTATCAGAAAGGTGACCAGTCTACAATATACTTAGAAAACTATACTGATAATTTGCATTTAGTTTTATTGGTGGGAAGAGTATTATTTTGCACTCCTCTAGAGGTTCTTCTGCTTTTATCCATTCAGTCACGTTTTATTACATAGAACTGAGAACTGAAGCAGTAAATGTAGGTCATCTGAACCTTGTGAGAAATGTGCTTTGGGCATCGGCAGCTATGAATGTTGTCTTTCCCAGGCAGTCACTGGTTGGTTATCACTGCTTTTTAAAATTATAACATAGGTAAATTGCAAGTTACTTCTGAAGTTAACACTGTGCCTGTGTCCACTGCATTTGTCATTGTCAGATACTATGGTAATAAAATTTATTTTAAACTTCTTGAATGTACAGAATTGTGCTATGCTGAGAATGTACTTACATCTCATGTTCACAAGCACAGTGAAGGTTATGGGTAGCTTGCATTAGGCTCTGCAGAATTATAAGAGAAAGGTCAAAATAAAAATTTGAGGTAGAATGGCACACTATTTATGTCGAGATAGTGTCTGGATGAAGAGCCTTTATTATTTTCCTCCAGTACCTGAGTTATGGCTTGGTGTTTCAGCGGAGATGACTCATTGACAGTTTCACCTTCCAAATTGTGTTGCAGCTGAATAATGTTGCTGAAGTCTAAAATAAGGCTGGAATTCAGAATTTTTCATTATATAATTTAGTAATTTTTTTGTGTTACCATGTTATCCATATTTATTACTTGATTTTATGGGTTTACTTACTTTTCCTGTTGATTACTGTTTGTTACTGAAAGACTAACTCACTAAAGATATGACCCTCCCCATATTTTTGTACAGGATCATGTTTAAAGACTTGCATTTCTTTAAATTGACTTCCTTTTCGGTAGAAAGTATTGGGTTACTTTTTTCCTTACCCTTATGTAATCAAAATTCTTTGATGCTACACTTTAACTTTTCTGCAGTAACTGATTTTTCTTTTCTTATAAGTTTTATAGGTATTTAACATCTAGAATCATCATATAGCAATTAATTACGTAGTTTGAGATCTTGTTTGATAAAACCAGGGAAGAGATTGAAGTAGTTATAAAAAGCAACTTTTAAACTGGCTAAACAAATAGAAGAGAAATTGGAAGTTAGGGCATTGTTCAGCTGATTGGTTTTCTACTATGTTAAGATTTTAATGGATTTCCCAAAGCATCTGTAAGAGAAACAATTTTAAATACTTTGGTCTTCTACATACAGTCCCCCAAACTATTGAATAGTTTATTTGGATCCAATCAAGTTTGTTTATTTTGTTGTTTTACTTCAATGAAATTGCCCTTGTACCTATCAAGTAAAGTGAGAAACTTGGTATGTTCCAGGGTCTGCTGAAAACGTGACTTGTGCTTTAGAATCCATTACTCTTTCCTATCCTTTTTCTTGGTGTGAAATATAAAATACATTTAAAGGATTCCAAGGTTTGCAAGAAGTGTGTAGAACTCAGATTTTTAATCATGGAGTGATTGTGAGGCTGTGTTCTGGTGGCATCGTGAATTTGCCTCTCAGCAGACATATGGGGAGTTAATAAACAGGTTGTTGGCTGGAGCATCTGCATCAGTAAAGTTTTCTTAGAGTGGAGTATTTTTTCCTTCATTTTTTCTCACTGTGTTTACAAGTTTGGTTGTTTGGGGGTTTTTTTGGGTTTTGTTTTTGTTTGTTTGTTTGTTTTGTTCTGACCTTTATCCAAATATTAAATGTGGCTAGTCAGCTAGGAGGGAATGTGGGCGCTCACTGGCTTTATGCCTTTCATTTGGGAATCAGGATACAGTCTGTGCTTCAGCCCCTTGTGTGTCTGGGCTATGTGCCTCTGAGTATATAGATAGGTTTGGTGTTGCCATAGTTCCTGCTTTTGAAATAGGTAGGTTGGGAAGCTGTATCTAGGGAAGAATAAAAATGGAAATTTTTTTCTATACCCACCAATGCAGCTTGATTGGTGGTTGTTTCTTGGTTTGCATTTTTTGTTTTGTGTTTTTTTGTTTTGCTTTGGGTTTTGTTTGGTTTTTTTGTTGATAGTTTGGTTGGGTGTTTTTTTGGTTATATCTTTTTGTTTTGTGGTTTTAGAGAATTTATTATGTTTACTTTGGCTGGGAGGTGGTGCTTTTACTTCTCTCCCCACCCCCCTCAATGCCTATAAGAGAAGAGGGTGATTTTCTTCAGGTTCTGGGTCTAAGCTTTTATTTTACTTGAAAAGTACAATTTTCAAATGTTGAGAGTTAAAGGAAAAAGATTGAGAGCAAAGCCTTGAGAGTTTTTTTAATTCTGAAGAGTACTTCAGAGAATAATGCTGAACTCTAATTTTTAAGGGTAATCTGACTGTTAAATGTAAATTGAGCATCATAGAAACTCCATAGATTAATAACATGAAACTCCTTTATTAGAAACAGTTAATTCCTCACATTTCTTCTACTTACCAGAGTTCCTTTTTTAAAATTTACTATAAGAATATTGCTGATTTGTTTTTCTTGAACCAGCTACTATGTGTAAAATCACAATAGCACCAGTGTTTCTTTGTTTTGTTAGGTAGGCCTGATACATAATAAAATTAAAATGTATATAAGTTCCTGTTTCTTTTACAGATTATATATATAAATGCTTCATATAATGAATATAAGGAAAAACCAAAAATTATATTGAATAGGATAACTTGATAGATTATTATATTTCGAAGGAAAGATATCTGACATTACAGAGCAAAACAACTATTTTACTGAAGTTACTTCAGCAGATAATTGGTAAAGTTCATGTTTTTTTTCAAATAAAAGAAGTGAATAGAAATATCACCAAACAGAGACTCAGTGTCCTGAGTTCTGTTCACTTTTCATCTGATTGGATTTGTCATTCTGAGCACGATTTTTAACTCGCCACCTGTTTACCAGTGCTTGAAGAGAAGCATAAAACTGAGGTGTTTAGTTGTCTCTACATACCTGAGGTATTAGTCCTTACCCCTTTAGAAAGTATGTGTATAGAATTTTCATTTCCATACAATTTCTAAAATAACTCCCCACCAGTACTAGGTTGGGAAGAGCAGATTATTGTTTGATGGCAATTTGATAACAATTTTCATGGAAATACAATATTCCAGTAATGTTGTTCAGTTTTAAAGTAGGAACCTTTCCGCTTTGTCAAAAATTTAATGATGAAATTATGTAAATATATAAAAATGCACAGAGGACATGGGTTTGGAAACTGGTTCAGCTTTGATAGCGTTTGTTCCACAGTTTGGTCTTGTGGAGCACCAGGTTATTCTTGGAGGAGAGGAGAGGAGAGAAATTAAGAAACCACAGATTAAACTTCTATACTAACTAGTCGTGAAGCAAACTAATCATGGGATTTCCTAATTATTGTAATTAGGGTTCTTTGTCTGCTGTTGATATTCTCCTTGAATAGTGCATAAAGCTGATTTAAACAATTGAATACTTTTAAGCTTAGAGTATATTGGGAAATGAAAATGAAGTGAAATACCTTCTTGTTTCCATTATAGCTTTCCAAACAGTATCAGCCCTGAACATAAGCAGGTTACATATGATATTTTAAGAAACTTTTTAAATGTTTTTCCAGTTTTGTGATACCTTTTTAATAGATGCTGATGATGTGAAACTCGATGATAATTACGAATAATACAATTATGCATTATACATTAGGGAGAGAAATACTTTCTTCGTACTGCAGAAAATAAACTATTCCCACTGAAACACTTCCTCAGTTAATTTATGGTCTTCTCTGTGCCTCATGGGAATCCTGGACATGGTTCTAGTTAGGTCTTGAATAAGATATAATTTCTGTTTATATGCTATATTCATCATAACTAAATACTTTTGTTTCTGTGAACATCAGAATACAGTGGATAGAATTTAGAGATGGTGAAATATTATGTTACTTCTTATCTGTTTCTTTCAAACTCTGGTACACTATGCAGTGTAGTATAATTCAAGGAAATTCAGTGTGCTTTAGAAATGGATGTTAAGTCTGATGTTTGATTCTGCTCAGTGCTATAGACTAATTCTGTTCCAACCACTTTGCTTCTTCCAGGCCATGAGATACTGTTCCCATGATGGCAGAGGTGGATGGAAGGTTTTGTTGACCATTGCACAACTCTTAAATGCTAAAAGCTGAAGGCACTAGCTGACAGCTCAGCGTGGAGCAAACATTTTATTTTAAACTTCAAAAACAATTATGTCAAAGAAAAGTCGTGCCAAGGGAGAGAAGTCCGACATGGAGACTGAATCCCTGCAAGCTGCTAATGAGGAGCTGCGAACTAAACTAACCAACATCCAGATAGAATTTCAGCAAGAAAAAACCAAGGTATTTGTCTGTCTCTGTTTTGTGAACATTCTTACAACAGTAGCACTGTTAGAAACCAGCAGAGTTTGATACTAAAATGTGCGTTTGATACTGAAATTTGCAATCACAGCAATACAAATGGCATTAGCTTACTGACAAGGGAGTTTTGTATTTGATCTTACTGAAAATTGTATGTTGTAAAAGGAATCACCTTCAAAATCAAACATCAGCACTTTATTCAAAGCATGTCCCTTTAAATGCATATGAAGAATATCAATTAACTGGAAGCTGTGTAGGAGTCCTGATTTGATTTGCTGAGGTTCTGTGTGGCATTGTTCTGTGCTATTCAGTGATGCATCTGATTGCTAATGAAACAGATCCATCAATATTTGTCTATCCAGCATATGTTCAAAGGTATTTGAGTAATCAAGAGGACACATAGGAGAAGCCATTAATTCATCAAATACATTTGTATTTATGAAGATCAGCAGTTACTTGTATATATTTCTGTAGGTTGTTTAAAATATGGACAAACCAGTAAGGTTATTTCTACTCTGTTATTTATTAAAATCAATTAATGCATTTGACTTTGCACATGGCAGTTCTGGAGATGAATCCATGTGCAGGTGGATTTATCTCTATTTGACTGGGGATACTGTAGTTCCAAGAGTCTCAAAGACTTACCAAGTACAGAGAATATGCACTGAAAATGTGCTCTCTTTATATAAACTATCTTTATTTTAGACTTTTCTCTTTTTATCAGTGAAAAATGGGGAACACCTGAATAACAACATTTCTGCACATTTTACTTTCATTAACATCCTTGTGTGATACTCAGCTTTGAAAGGTATTATTTTTTACATTTTACTTTACAAAGTAAACTCAAAAACCATCCCAAATGTAATCTTCAGAACCTTTTTCTTACAGAGGAAAAAGAAACTATAAAGCCGTAATTCGTGTTTGACTGATGCAATAGGCTCAGAAAATACCAGCCAATTAAATTTGTATTTCCTTGGAAATTTTTCTTCTTCACAGACTAAAGCAAAAAGTCCAATGTCTTACTGGTCAGGGGTATTGATAAATTAACAGATAAGTCAGAGATTCTGCTGTTGGCTTCCTCATCCAACTTCTCTTGGTGTTGATTGATACAATCACAGCAAATTTTAAAACAAGTGGCACAAACTAATTGAGCTTTTTAAAACAACACACCATGAAATTTAGCAGTGGCTAATACCCTTTATAATTTAGAGGTAAATAAGTTGCATTGTTTCACTGTCATTTTTAGTGTTCTCAGTGTTTCTATTTGGAGACTTACGAGTTGATAGCAGATTACATTTGCACTAGTAAATTTTTCTTTTTAGTTATCTTATTTCCTATTTTGTTCAGTATAATTTTATTTGTAGAAATATGAATGTGAATTTTATTAAAATTTTTTAAATTGCATTAAAAAGAACACATAAAGTTATCTTACACCATAGACAGAAGAATGAATTAATTTTGAGTCCTTAAATAACACTGATTTTAAAAAAAATTACATTAACACTAGGAAGAGTTTAGCTCTGATACACTTCCAGTATTTACCTGGAAGTGTAAAGTGTAAGCATCAAGTTTAACTCTTGATTCAACTAAGAATGAGGCATAAGTACCATGACAACTGCGGGAACATTTTCAATAACTAGTCTTTTTACACTATATTTAGTCTTGGAAGATTTTCTTCTGCTTGGTTATTTACTTGTTCACCTTTTTTCAGCTTAAAAAACTAATATCTTCTAGTGTATTGAGATTGTTACTGCAGATCTGCGTATTGTGCACATATGTGTGCAGAGAAATGGGTGAACATATGAACATATGAAATCTGTGAAAGAGGAGATTACAGCCAGAGTGCTCTAAAATCCTGCTAAGTGTACATTGCAGTCTGAAGTAAATTCTGCAGTGTGTTGGGTGCATTTCTGTGAGGATGCAGCCAGGGGAAGAGATCTTCAACCTCTTTCCCTCATCTTTGCTGTGGTGCTTGCTCTAAGTCATTTAACTGGAACTGAGCACGTGATTTATTTCCCAGCCTACTCTTGGTCTGTGCAGCAGTTACAGGATGCCTTGACTGACAAGATGAGTAAATCAAAGCCATAGCGACTTTTCCTGTTTAGACTGTAGTTCAAAAATACTAACAAAACCAAGAGAAATTATTTCTTGGTATCAGAAAGTAAAAATAACTGTACCTAGAGAATTCTAAATAAATTAGATAGATTTACTGGTGTAGAGGTAAGAGAGAAGTATTGAAGCTGCTAAACAGGCAGCTTTGTGACCCATGGGATATAAACTGTATTAGGAAAGGTAACAAACTCTTGTGGGGCCAATTTATTCAATTTAATTTTCCTAAACTATTTTTTCCCTCACGTATATGCCTGTATTAATGATTTATCTGAGAAGGAACCTTCTGATTGATGAGAGACATCACAGATGGAAATTAGCTTTAGCATACTTTTGCCTGAAAAATACTGCTTTCTCTGAAATAAAATTTTACCCAAGAGACATTCAAAACTTTGTACATATTTTCTTAATACATCTTGTTTTCATTGGTTGTTGATCCATGTAAAGAAATTTCTTCTGTAAAGTTGTTTACTGTATGCTTATGCAATACCTGATCCAAAATTTATATGTTTGCACATTTTTGGATGTGCATTGTAGTTGGTCTTACTGGTGTTGGTTTGGCCATCAGACACGTGTAGCTGGGTTAATTAATGCTGCCTAAGGGGTGAAGCAAAAGCTGTGGCCCTGCCTTAGTTCCCATGTACTGTATCTTGTGGGAACACCTGCTTGATAGCTCTGGGGGCCCTGTTGGATACAGGATGTCCACCTGGGCTGTAGGTTTGCTGCCAGCTATGGAGAGCCTGGAGAAGGAAATGCATGAACTGAGCCGGGGCTCACATACTCTCACTCTGCTAGTGAAAAGGCTTTGTTGGAAGACATCAGAACTCATTGGATAATGAGTAACAAAAAGAGTTGACCAAAGCACAAAAATTATACTTATTTTAACATGAATGGGGGCAGGATTCACTTTGACTGAACCTTTAAGTCCAGTGCTATAAGCATAAGGAGCTGCAGTGGGTGAGCTTGGCAGTCAGCTCAGTGGTTTTATAAATGCATGTGTTGAGATCCATGAATTTTCAGGAACAAGTACTCCAAAGTACCTATTCCCACTAAGATAGTTACAAAAAATTAGAAGGTAGTCTTTTGATATTTCTAATACTTTGTTCTTGACAGAAAGGTGCTGTAATGTTGGCTGTCAGTCCATCTTCTCCTAGTTCAGTTATTGCTTTTAGATATCCATAGATATCCATATCCTACTGCATATCTCACCTCTGGGAAGAGGAGTGATAGAGTGGCTTGGCGAAGCTTCGTGTGTTTTAGTTTATGGCCATTGCTCCTTATTCTGTCATTGGGCACCACAAAAAAGAGCCTGAACTCTCATCTTGATACTCTTCAAGATATTTATATGCATTGGCAAGGTCTCGTCTCAGTCTTCTCTTCTCTAGAAGAAGAGGCCCAGCTCCTGCAGTTTCTCCTCATAAGAGAGATGCTTCAGACCCCTTCTCATCTTTGTGGCCCCCTCTTTGGGAACCCCCTCCAGTAGCTCTTTGTCTTTCTTGAACTTCGGAGCCCAGAACTGAACACAATTCTCCAGATGCACCTCAACAGGGCCAAGGTCATTCATAAGCAAGTTAAATAAGACTGGAACCCAGTGTTGATCCCTGGTGCTCCCCAGCCTCCAGCTAGATTCTACTCTGCTAGTCATGATGCTCTGAGTTCTGCCATTCAGCCAGTTCTTGATCTACCTTGATCCACTGTCCATTCCTCTAAGCCCCATTTCCAGAGCTTACCTACAAGGATGTTATAGAAGACAATGTCAAAAGCCTTTTTTATGAAGTCAAGGTAGATAGTGTTCACTGCTCCCCCATCACTGACCCATCCAGCCATTCCATTGTAGACTACCAGACTGGTCAAGCATGATTTCTCCTTGGTGAATCCATGCTGACTATTCCTGATCACCTTCTTTTGCATTCAAGTTTGAAATTCCTGGCAAAAAGCAGTGTCAAGAATATTCCTCCTGTGATTGACTGTTGTGCCACAAATTAAAAACCAGGCAGTTAAATCCAAGAGAAAAAAATGAGGTAGTCCTGAGTAAATTCTTATCATAACATTTTAACTGGGGCAGTGGTTTGGTAGCATTTGGAAACACATATGTTTTAGTAGGTTATTACCTTTTAGAAATGCATAGTTTTAAAATCCTTTCATTGACTGGTCTGATCATAAAGCCAAACTATTACTTTTCTGTCTCAAGTGTGCAAAACAACTTGTCATAGAAAACAAGATGTAAATATCCAAGGAAAATATAGTTACATTGTTTTAAAGAAAATCTTGCTTTCAGGCACTTTTTAGACATAAGAAAGGAAGGAAGCAGTGATGCTTAGCATTATTTTCTGGAGAAGCTAAATTCTGCTATGACAAAAACATTGTGTCAATGTGCACCAATTATTAAAGTTTTAATTTAGAAAGGTAGAAGATAACAAGGTTTATTGGTGCCCTGATATCATGCCTGACTTTTTTTCCCTATTGGTTTAATTTATTAGATAGAATAGCTTTCTTCAGGGGAAAAAAAAAATACAGAAAGAGTGCCGGAAATTAAAAAAGAGAAATTGCTTTAAAATTTAGGTTCATTTGGAAAGTGAGACTCAGGCATATGGGAAAATGCCACACTACTATTTTCATTCAGCCAGTTGCTCTGGAAGCCAGACGAGTGCAGAACTGCGCAGTGTGCAGGAGAGAGGGACTGAGTGGTGCAGGAAGGACAGATTATGGCTTTCAGAGAAGATCTGAGAAACAGATCTAACTTTCCATCTTACCTGACAAAAAGCAGTAATTAGAAAAGACTTTTTAAAGATCTTGAGAATTTTGGGATGTATCCTTTTCTTTCTGGATCATGGGGTGTAATAAGCATTTAAGATGCTGTGTAATAATCCAAGGGTTTTTGAGGATTGTAATTCTTTAAATTCCTCTTACTGAAGCTTTTAGGTAAAGTTAGTAGTGATATGTGATAGTACTCAGTTACTCTGGGTGGTTAATACATGTTCTCACAGACAGCAACAATGCATATATGTTTTGCCTTGCTTTCCCTTAATTCAGTGAAAGATGAAAACACTGATCAAATAGCTAATTTGTGTGACTCAGTGCTCCTCCAAAATATGAAAATTCATTTATTAAAAATTCGTTCAGGAACTTAACTCATGAATGTGTTGTATTGAAAACTGCCTTTCAGTTGCATACTTTATGTACAATATGACTAATTAAAAATTACTGTAGTTCTGAAGGTATATTGTCTGTGTTTGTATGTGCTATTATGCACTTTGTTTCTCTGTGTTGTCACTAGTAGGTTTCATTGGTTTAATTTAATTTTTCTTGGATCATCAATAAGGCAATAAGTAAAAATAATAAGTGCTGTTTCATTTGCAGATTTATTTATTTATTTATAAACTAGTCTGTTCTGATAGCAGATAGGTAAGTGAGTAAGTGACTTAGCTTTGTTACAGCATCATGGGATGGTTTGGCTTGGAAGATCATCAATTTCAACCTCCCTGCCATGGACTCTCCTATGGAATTTAGTGTCTTAATGCAAGCGCTGAAAATCATTGCTATCTGCTTTAGGCTTGGAATGAAATGTCATCCCACCGAAGGAAATAACACATGGATGTACCCTGCAGATAATTTCCAAAAGCCAGATTTACCATTTGGGAAAAAACACCCCAACCTCTGTCTCTCTTAATAAAGATACATTCTCAGAATCATCCTGGAACAGAGTGACAATATCTGTAAAATCTGTGTGTGACAGTGTCTGATTCAGAGCTATTACCTTTTTAACAGCTGTAATTATAGTGCTTTCCCAGGTGGTGTTTAGTCAACAGTGCTTCTAGGTTAACTTTCATAAAAATGTAGATCCTCCCTTTCCTGGTCCAGTCTCTTCCTTTCTTTAAATCAAGGGTAAGTTTAAGTCGGTTAATTCTCAAAGTCACTGTTCAAAATAAGAGGATTGTAACATCTTCTGCACAGGAAAAATCTGCTGTCCCAGCTGTCTGAGGAGTGCAGGTCAAGTTACGGTGGGTTGATCCTGACTGCACATCTATCTGACCAAGCTGCAATTCTGGCTTAATTTAGTGTAAATTAAATGCATCATATGACTACAGATCACAGCTTTGTGTAGCATAGATAGAAGCAGATGTGGCAGTGACTAATGTTTTGCTGCTTGGTAACCTCCTTTTTATTGAGAGACCACCAGCTTTTCACGAGTCTTCACAGAAGTAAAAGTGAACTCTGATTATTTCTGTCTTTAGCACACCTTTTATAGGGTTCACAGGGTCTGTGGGCTAAGCAAGTTACTACTGGCTAATACACACAGGTTTACATTTTTTCTCCTTTACCCAAGGATATTGTTTTGCTTTATTCTCTCTCCTGCAGGAGAGTTTCAGTGACTTTAGCCTTTAATATCACGACTTATTCCAAAGGCTGGTTTGTTCAGACAGGCCTTTACTAATGTATCTTGCCCACCTTCTGTTAAACTATTATCTACACCTTTTACCATGAAGAACTATTTGCTATGTATGTTTGTATTGTCAGTCAAGGTTAAAACACAAGTTTTGAAACCTGCCCCTGATAGAGATTTTGGGAGTCTCTGTAATGGGGATAGTAGAAAGATTTTACTGAAACTATGCATGATGAAATACATTATAGCCTTTCTGGTATACTGCAATAGACAAGTGAGCCGCTCTCTAGTTTCCCTCTTCATTCTAAATTAACATCTAATCCCACTTGGAAAAAGCATTGGTTTCCATGCAGCCTGCTGAGCATCATTTTATAATGAGGTTTCATCACAGTGGATATTACTATAATAGTCTATAACATTTTTCCATTACTCCCTCCCCAACCCTTAGATTCACTGGCCTATATTTTCTGAAATGTCTGGGGATATGAATAGTCTCAGTTTTGGGGTGAGATCTGAGGCCCATTGAGTAGACTTGATTTTTCAAAAGGACAATTTTTTTTGCTTATCTAATAAGGATTTTCCCATTAAAATAGCTAAGAAATTAAGAAATCCAAAATAAAAGTATTTCCAGCATAAACACAAAGTCTTTTCCCTGTTCGATTCACTTTTCATCTGCTGGTAGAGGGTTATGGGTGAGAATGTTCTGGTATGGGAGAATGGTATAGGAAATAAGGAGATAGCTAGATTGTATGTTGATTGATTTTATTTTATTCCCTAAACCTGTGAGAACTCATTGCCAATTGCACATCCCTAAAGCAGATTGCTTGACATACACATGGCCTTTTTCCAGCCCTGCTTCTCAACTTGTTTACTGGAGAGAGGTGTGCAGTCTTTGCTTTTGAATATTCAGGATAGGTTTTTAAGAACAGTTTAGAAGCAGCGCTTCCTTGGTGACTTTAAAAAGCGGAGTGGTGCTTGTTAATCAATATTTTATGTTTTGTTCCAGGTGGGTAAACTGAGAGAAAAAATCCAAGAAGTTAAACAAGAAAGGGAGCAGGAGCAGCATAAGCACACTGCTTATGTTTCTGAACTGAAAGCCAAGCTCCATGAGGAGAAAATGAAGGAACTTCAGAGTGTCAGAGAGCTACTGATCCGGCAGCACGAGCAGGAGGTGGCAAGAATGGTGAAAATCAAAGATGGTGAAATTCAGCGTTTGCAGTCTACAGTCAATGTCCTGCGGGACGGGGCGGCTGACAAAGTGAAGACGGCGCTGCTGAGTGAGGCAAAGGAGGAGGCTCGCAAATCGTTCGATGGGGAACGAATGAAGCTGCAACAAGAGATCTTGGAGCTGAAATCTGGCAAAAAGCAGCTTGAAGAAGCTCTGAACAACATTATGCAGGCAGATAAAATGAAGGCTGCGGACCTGCGCACAGCTTATCAGTCCCACCAGGATGAGATCAATAGAATAAAGCGGGAATGTGAGAGGGAGATCCGCAGGCTGGTAAGTTCATTAAGTGACGCTGCTTGTTTCAGTTCATAGCAGGTATTGGTATGTTTCTCTATGTGCCCATAAATATCAAAGCAACCTTTGGCTGTGGTATCTTCCATCAGTGCTGAGTGCTACAACAGGCTGCTATTTATGTCCCACCAAACAGAATAGAAGTCAACCAAGACTTTCCAGGATGAATTTTCTCAATGGATCAAAGAAATAGACTTTCCCCTTCCTAGCTGCACAGCTACACTCCTGGTGATCTAAACAAGTCAGGGATTGTTCATTGGACAATGCAAGAATGCCTTGAGAGAGGCAACATTAAATTAATGTAGAGTTTTTATATTTAAATTGGAGGAACCGGTTGTGCTGAAACAAGACAGTCTCTTTACTTCTTCTGCATCTTTATCCAGGTCATTCAGTTTCAAGCATTGTTGCCCTTTCAGAGTTTGTGTTTTTTCTATTGCACCAGTAAAGTTAGGGCCTTTTTACACGCTTCATAGATCCTAGGACTTCAGCACAGATGGCAGACTATGCTGTTTGTATAAAATCAAAATCTAGGCCATATTTCCTGACAGTGGGTGCCCCAAATTATTCAGCTTTGTAAAATAAAAGGAATCTAAGATGGACTGTACACAGTAATGCATTTAGAGAGGTCTTCATCAAATGACACTTCTGTTTAGTAACATGATATTTTCTATATAATACATGTATATATATATATGTGTACATATATGTATATATATGTATCATATATATATGTATTTATGTAATTGTTTATCTGCAAAAACTAGCAGTATGATAGCTATGCAAATAAAATAAAAAAATACGAGAAGTATAATATTTATATTATGTCAAATAGTACAGACTTTTAATAGAATGAAACATCAGTTTCCTTAGGAAAATATCTTGTTGGTTTGAATTTGCACAGAAATGACCTCTTATTTTTTGTATTCCTTAGGAAAAGTTAGGATAAGGACAAGATAAAAACTGTAATATTGTTTAATGCTGCTGATTTTCTGTCTGAGACAATGAAAGCTTTTAATGCAATAAATATTTATGCTTTAAATTAATTGGATGTTGATTGAATCTCAGGGGTATCATTTTGTTTATTAATTAAGATCATTGCAAAGATTGACAGTGTAGAGTTTCTGCAAGCGTATTTCTTTCATATTTTGTTCTGTATTAGAAATGTTAAATTCTAAAATTTTGGCTATGAAGTACAGACAATTATAAAAAGTATTAAAGAAGAGAGAAGATTGATACATTGTGGCATATGTTTTACTGGACACCATTTTCTAAATGAATTTAACCTCCTCCAAGAAAGGTTTAAAAGGAAACATTTAGCTCTTCACTTTCAAGAGTAGAGGTTTTCAGCCTGCTGTTGTGCAAAGGTGATAAAGAAGGGCACTCTGTTTTCTGTCTGGCACTAGAAAAGATCCTGTGAAGTCATTCAAAATTTTAATTGTAGCCTTGCTGGACCTGTGGTACTCAGTACATCTAAAAAGGTGAATATATTGGGAAGGAGTGTAGGTAACTCTTGTTTCCTTTTCCCACACCAGAGGAAGCCTGCCACTGGTTTCATGGGCTTTCTCAGGAAATGTTTGTATCCTCCTCCATGAGTCTGGTGCTGCCTTCTAGTGCCTCCATTCCTTTCATATAATGAATATCAATTTTTTCCTTAAATTCAGTGGTTTGTAGGGTTTTTTGAAGGAAGTTTCTTCTAGGAATTCTTAGGAATTTAGGTAGTTATTATTGCACAGGGCAGGCTTTAACTCTGGGATGAGGTAAAAATACCGCAGGGTTCCTAGATAGGTTCTCTTTTCCTTTGAGAGAGCATGTGGGATTTTAGAATCTGATCATTTGGATATTTCCTTCTCTCCTCTCCCCTCCATTTAATTAATTCCAGAGATGCTTCAATTCCAGATTAATCCTATCAGTTCTGGACTTGGGGCTCTTGGTTGGTTTCTACCATTCTACCATTCTGTGAGATTAAATGATAAGAATGTGAAAGGCAGTGTTATTAATATTAGCACAGTTCTGTAACTGAGCTTCAATTAATGTGCTCATTTGTATGTGTGCAGTGTTTTGTGGCACTATTAAGAAACCAGCATCTTTGGGATTAATGACCTAAATGGGCTGGCCATACTGTAATTCAAATTCAGATAGAGTAATTCAGGATGCAGGCTGATTGTCTTGTCAGACTTGGCTGATTTATTTTGCATTTCAGATCACAGATTACTTTTGTGAATGTTTTTCTTACAGATATTGCAGCTAGAAAAAAAAATCATATTTTGCCATTAACTTTAAGAGCCTTGACTAATCTGACTAAAATCGTAAAATTCTTAGCTGTTATTAAAAAATAAGTTATGAGAAAAGAAAAAAACCAAAATCCATTGCCTATGTGTATATGGATATAATTTATTAACTATATTTTTTAAAATATGGTGAATCAATTTGGTGATTGTTCTCACAGTTTTGAATTGAGCCATGAAAAATACCCAACAAATCTCAAGAGAAACAAGACTGAATGACTAAGGTCCTAGTGCTTAATAAGAGAAAGTAAAATACCTATTTGGCAAAAAAATAACACACCTTTTCTATATGCAGTATGAAATCATATTGTGATATGATTTTGATAATTTTTTCATTTCCTGTAATTGAAAATGTAAAAGTGGTATAAATGTTTTCATTCATTTAAGGAATGCTAATTGCTGTGGATTTTATTCCCCCACCCTCCAAGAAAATACATCCTTGTTGTATATATGCATCAGCACAACGTGCTGGAAGCTATGAAACCAGGAGTAAAAACGGCTAGTAACAAACTGGAGGGACAAATGAAGTGGATACCTTGAAAATAAAGAGGCATGTTGGAGAATAAGATAAGGAAGCAAGAACAGCTGTTACTTATTTTGTTCAGCCCATGCTTGCTGAGTAGTTGAGTCTGAACAGTTGCATTGCTCCACAGAGTGAACTGTATACAAGTACACAAAATAGCAATTTCAGCCAATTTTTCTTAGGCCTTGCTTAATCTTGCCATTAAACTGACTTACTTGGCTCTAAAATCAGGTTAGAGGTTACTTTTCAGAGGTAAGTAAAGTTGCTCTCTTTTGCCTGACAATCCTGAAATTGCCTGCTGACATTGTTGGTGATCCTTGGAAGCAGATGAGCCTTACTCTGTTCCCAGCACAGGTGGGAGGGGAGCCATGGCTATTGACTATAGCACGTTACTTCGAGGTTCTTACTCTGTTCCCAGCACAGGTGGGAGGGGAGCCATGGCTATTGACTATAGCACGTTACTTCGAGGTTCTTAGTTATACTATAGCATGTTAGTTACTTAGGGGTTGCATTCATTCTGGGACCCCTTGGACACCGTTTTTAAGCAGGCCCTTACTTTGCAAGGCACATTTCTCTAGGTGCTGTTTTTGCAGCGGCAAAAGGAGATTAATGGATGCTTTGTAGTGCTTGCCTTGGAAAAGAAATGCAAAAGCCCAATCATTAAAAGGATATTGAATTATGGCATCACCTATCTAATAATTTTTAGTATTGGTTGAATAAGAAAAAACCTGAATGTTTATTTTGTGAATACTTAATATAATATTTAAACTTTGGGATGAACAAATGACACTTGAACCCTGCATTTTGTGGTGTATATTTCAGTAAACACTGTTTCTTTTATTGGAAATGTCTTTAACACCAATCCTCTTACTTATTTTACAGCTAAATACCATTCTACCCTGTTAAAATCTTTACACATATGGTCTTCCTAAATACTCTTTAGCAGCTTGAATTGAAATTAACTGAAATACTTCAATATAAAATAGACCCAATTTTCTTAACCACAAAATCATTAAGATTCCACTGATTGTATTAGATGTACAATAAGGTTCCTGTTTAAAATGGCACATAGTACACCAGATGAATTAAATTTGCATATTTTAATTGTATTTTCAAGTAGCCTTATAAAAATTGTCTGAAGAGCAATGTGACAGTACTTCAGATTCATATTTACAAGGCAAAAAAATCCTTTTGCTGCTAAAATTTTTCTTTGCATCAGAGTAAAAGATGTTGTTTTCAAGGGGTGATTTTCAGAAGTTCCTGATCAGCAGTGATTTATGGAGACAGATGCACTATTTAAGTGTCCTTAATCTCCTTTGTCCGAATTATATTGCTGCATAAATAAATAAATAACTCTTTCCAGTGTGGAACACTTCTGTCTGGTGTTTCCCAAATAAATATAATGCAAGACATGAAAGAATATAATTCAAACTAATAGATCAAGCAGTTTTTAAAGGTAGAAATCTAGTAAGTTTCACTGAAACTTCTCTTCAAGAGAAAAACCCTGCTATGGAATAAGCTCATGTATCATTTATATTGATTTTTTAAAACACTAATATTTCAGTTTTGTGTCTGTGTGTAACACAGCATCTCATGATTAAGTGAAGGCTTCTGAAAATATTTTTTTCAGAATTAAGAATTAGGTTGCTCCAGTTTAGGACAGCAAAAACTTCAACTCATGTCCTTCACAATTTCATATTTTCTAACCTTGCACAACTCTTGATATGGTTGTCTGTCTCTCCTTAGTATGGATTATACTAATACTAATAAGGTGTCTATGTCTTTAGTATGATTTAGCATTGGGACTATAATACAATCATGGAAAAATTCAGATGGTGAGGGTCCTCTCAAGGTCAGCTGGTCCAGTGCTCTGCTTGAAGCAGTGCTGCTTTGAAGGTTGGATCAGGCTGCTCTGGGCTCCCTCCAGCTCAGTTTGAAAACCTCCCAGGATGGAGTTCAACAGTGACAGCCTGCCCTAAAGCCCAGTCACTGTGAGATTTCTTTCTTCTTTTGATTGTCACTATTGTACTTTTGCTGTGTATCTTGGAGAAACATATCCTTGTTCATCGCTGTATTCCCCTTTGGATGGCTGAATGGATATCCACCACTGCAACACATCCTGCCTGCTTCCTTCTGCTGGCTGGGAAAGCCTGGCCCCTTCACCATTCCTTCAA